TCTTTCCCCACAAGATGTTTTTAAAATATCCCAAGAATTGCTTAATTGCAAATTATATATCCAATTAATTATGAAGTGTTCAAATAGGAATACAGAAAATACTCCATACCTTTGAATCTTTTGGCTTCTTTTTCTTTCCTTTGTTTTTTATCTTGGTAGAACCAAACTAAAAAATGGAAGAAAAAAAATTAATGAACAATTAAATAATGGCAGAAGCTCAACATAAAGAAACCATAATGATTTTGGACTAATCACAAGATAGATATACATAAAATGTTTAACAAAAATAACATTACAGTGTATTAGCCCAAATGCTATGATTTGAAATAGAAAATAAGAAAAGTTTAATAATGTCTAATAGTATAATTAAAATTAAACTGCTCCATTTTTACCTCATTTCTAACAAAGTATGAGTCATTTCGAGTAAAGAATTAGACTTTTAAGTACTTCTAGTTATATGTCACAATAACATTTTTATGATATTCCTTTTATGAAGCCAGAATAAACATTCTGCACCGGGCCAGACATTGGAGCAGAGTGAATAAAGAAACATTCATACTCCTCACAGGGTATGTTATCTGTGTCTCCATACTCAGCCAGGAAATATCTGACAGAGCAGATTAAGATAAAATTTCTCTATAGGCCAAGTGCAGTGGCGCACACCTGTAATCTGGCACTCTGGGAGGCCAAGGCAGGAGGATCACTTGAGATCAGGAGCTCTAGACCAGCCTAAGCAAGAGTGAGACCACGTCTCTACAAAAAATAGAAAAATTAGGCAGGTGTGGTGGCATGAGCCTGATCCCAGTTACTTGAGAGGTTGAGGCAAGAGAGTTTGAGCCAAGGAGTTTGAGGTTGCTATGAGGTATGACAGCACAGCACTCTAGTCTGGGGAACAGAGAGAGACTCTGTCTTAAAACCCCCCCCCCCAAAACAAAAAAAAATTTACATATAGATGGTTTACTCCTGAAAAATCAATAAACAATCATCCTTCTCTTTGTAAACTGCCACAATGCTGTTCTTTTCTCTACCTTATCATGTTCTAAAACTAAAATATCTCTGGCAGTGCCTGTGGCTCAGTGGGTAAGGCACCAGCCCCATATACCAAGGGTGGCAGGTTTAAACCTGGCCCTGGCCAAACTGAAACAAAAAATGGCTGGGTGTTGTGGCAGGTGCCTGTAGTCCCAGCTACTTGGGAGGCTGAGGCAAGAGAATTAAGCCCCGGAGTTGGAGGTTGCTGTGAGCTATGACACCATGGCATTCTACCCAGGGCGATAAAGGGAGACTGTCTCTTAAAACAAACAAACAAAAAACACTGAACAATCTCTAAACTGCCAGAAAAAATAAAAGGCAACTTAGTTGCAACCAACTATAAAAGAACTCTAGAACTGTTTTAACTTATACTCAAGCTCAATTTGGAGCTACTCAAAACAAAGTCCCTTTGTTTATTTTTATTTTTTGAAATAGTCTCACTTTCTTGCCCCTAGTAGAGTGCCATGGCATCAGAGCTCATAGCAACCTCAAACTGTTGGGCTCAAGCGATCCTCTTATCTGAGCCTCTAGAATAGCTGGGACTACAGGTAGCTGCCTATTTTTAGAGATGGGGTCTGGACCTAGCTCAGGCTGATCTTGAACCTGGGAGCTCTGGCAATCCCAGAGTGCTACAATTATAGGCGTGAGCTACTGCACCCATCTAAAACATTAAAATTTTAATCATTTAAGATAACTTCTCATTTTTATGCCAGGATACGAAGAATTCTTCCTTTTCTATTGCCAATATTAACATTTATTAGCTGGGAAAGTTTATGAAAACTATTATAAATTAAGCCTCAGAGTTTGCTGATTATTGCTCCAATTCCAAGAGAAAGATTGGCATTAACTTTCTAATAAAATATACATATTATTCAGAAGTCCTCTTAATTTGGTTCTGGAATGCCAACAAACACTGTCCTGGGTCCTCCTCTTCTCCTTTGGCTGATGTGAATGAGAATCTAAGACTTAGTGAGCTAGTCACTCACCGGCGCGTCACCACTGTCTTGCTTCCTTAGCACAGTACAGCGGCTGTCTGCAGGAAGATAGAAGGTTTTGTGAGGAAACTAAATATTTAAATTTCCATACCATACATCAAAGCCCCAAAAGTACCCCTGATACTACTAGCAAGATGATGTTCTATTCCTTATTTGGCTTTGACACAAGTTTAATTTAGAAACCAAGGGCAAAATGGCTGACTGATGGGAAACCAACTACAAAGAACCATACAATTTCAATCCAAATCAGCATAATTTGAGCGTCTTTAAGATGCCATCTATGCTAGGTGCTAGGAGTACAGAGATGCACAGGACAGTCCTCACCATTGATGAGTCTGTGTTCTACTGCCAAAAAGGCAAGGGTTCAACACCCCAGGGTGCTACGTGCCACTGTGAAACACACAACAACAAAGCTGATGAAGAGAGCAGGTCTGCAAGGACAAGGGGATTAAGAGGGAAAAGGAGGGCTCTAGGGAGGAGGGGACACTTGAGTTCGAGACGTGAAATGAATAAGCAGAAGTGGGGCATGGCTGTGGGAATGGCAGAGGAAGGAGGAAGGAAATCACAAGGCAGGTTTGTACACTACCAGGAGTGGGTACACACAGGACATTCCTAGAGGGAAGACAGAGAGTCGTGAGGGACCTAGAGAGATGATGTGAACTTAACTTGTAGGCAGAACTAAGAAAATGAGTTTTCCAAATCAAACAGTTAAATAGGATCAGACAGATGTCATAGAAGAGTCATTAGTTGCAGTGTAAATGGAAGATAAGGAGCCAGAAGGTGTAGCAGCACAGAGATCAGTTTGGCAGCTGGTGTGATGGTTGATTACAGAAAGATATGTGTAATTGAGGTTCCTGGCCTAAGGAAGTGGGATGGACAGGAAAGAACAGATCAAAGATAAAGCCTATTTAGGTAACTAATGATGAACTGGTTATAAGAGTAATAAGGGGCCGGGCATAGTGGCTCATGCCTGCAGTCCTAGTGCTGTGGGAGGCTGAGGTGGGTGGATTGCCTGAGCTCAGAGGTTCAAAACCAGCATGAGCCACAGTGAGCCAGAGTGAGACCCCATCTCTACCAAAAAAAAAAGCTGGGTGTTGTGGTGGGTGCTGGTAGTCCCAGCTACTTGGGAGGCAAAGGGCACGAGAATCACTAAAGGAATAAAGGAAAAATAAAAAATTCAGAGTAATAAGGAAATGAAAGAGTTGAGACTAATTCCAGGGTTTCCTGCTTGAAAACTACATGCACAACATATTATTAACTGAGATAAATTTAGGGGCTGTGATGAGTGCATTCAGCCATCTTGCTTTAAGGGGTCCTTTGGTCACCTAATGGAAATTCTCTAGGGAAATAAATATACATCCAGAGTTCATGAGAAAACTTGGAGCTTTCAACTACAGGTGATGTTGGGGCATCCAACTATTGGTGATATAATTCCAACTCTGAATTATAAGATGAGTGCATTTTGAAACACTGTAATAGAATCAATCCTTCCTTTAAATGAAGAGATAAAAATAAATACATTTGCGGTGAGGGTGGAAGACAGATCTATGGCACCTGACAATCTACTGGGATGGCCAGTATTTGGTTGGTGGCTTCCAACTTCATGACTAAGAACAGAGAAATAGTGGCAGCCAGGGTACTGTGTAGTTTAGGTACAGAGCTCAAGAATTAGGAAGGGTGCACTCTGAGAGGGAACTGTGTTCTTTTTAGTTGTCTTGTGGTGTGATCCAAACACGCATCAAGGTTTGTAAGCTCAGCCCCAGGATAGCGTCTTAGTACCAGCAGTCACAAACTGATGGCAATAAATTCAAGCTCAGGCTATCAAGTCACCTTCCATCACGAAAGACAAAGCCACCTGGATTTCACTGTGTTCTTTCCTAAGAACCACAACAAAAGTAAGCTTTTTACTTCCTTATACTGCATTTTTTTTATAATAGAAAATTTTTAAATTGAGTTCCGGTTTTTTTTTTTTTTTTCAGCAGTTTCTGGCCAGGGCTGGGTTTGAACCTGCTGTCTCCGGCATATGGGGCCGGCACCCTGCTCCTTTGAGCCACAAGCGCTGCCCAATACACTGCTTTTTTTTGAGACAGAGTCTCACTATGTTGCCCTTGGTAGAGTGCCGTGGCACAGCTCACAGCAACTTCAAACTCTTGGGATTAAGTGATTCTCTTGCCTCAGCCGCCCAGGTAGCTGGGACTGCAGGTGCCCGCCATAATGCCCAGCTATTTCTTGTTGCAGTTGTCACTGTTGGTTAGCCGGCCCGGGCTGGGTTCAAACCTGCCAACTTTGGTGTATGTGGCTGGCGCCGTAACTACTGTGCCATGCCAAGCCCTTATACTGCACTTTTTAAACTTGAGATTTGTAACAAATCGCATGATAGTTAAAAGTCTAGCTCCTGACAATACACATGTATAAATCAGATTTCTCATTCTCAAGGACAAGTGGAAGGAATTATCATAAGACATACATTTAGTATGAAATGTCAAGAAATTAAAATTAATAGAATTTTCTTTTAATGAAATTAAAATTTAAGAATATTAGAATTTTGAAGTAAAATGTGACCACACAGATGAGATAATGAGGTTAAAATGATCTCATTTTAATGATAAGGAAACTATGAGTGAAGAGAAGTGAAAAGAATTAATAGCTAGGTAGCCTATTCGGCCAAAATGGACTCCATGCCATTACTCTAAGGGCCCCTCAACTGCACCCCCCTTCCCTAAGCCCACAGCACCCCTGTCTAATTCCACCTCCACAACCAAAGCCTATCTTACAGTCTGCCCTGCACCATGGTTGTTCTCTCACCGAGGGACAAAGTAAGCGCTGGGTCCTTCCTCTGAAGCCCTCAGCACTTTCTCTGGTCCTCCCTTACTAAGTTTACTACCATATTGTAGTTATCAGTGCATTCTTCTTATTCCAGTTCCTAAAACGCAGGGCCTTCTGGGCAGGGAACAGAGTAAGCATTTCTGAACTCCTTCATGACAACCTAGCATGGGGCCCACAAGGTTTTTGGGGAAGCAGCTGCACTATAGCCTGCTCTTCCTGACTTCTAGTTCAAGGCTCTTCTGATGAAAACAAAGGTGGTATCTTTTCTAGACTTTGCAAACATCACCTACTTCTGTACACCAATATTTTCTTGAATGCTACAGATCACCACTTACTAATAAATTCCACCCAGCTAAAATGCAATTTTACCATGCTATAAAAATATCTAAGATGGGAATAGCATGATGTATAGTTAGCCTAACATATCCATTTGAGTATCTCTAACAGCTCAATAAAGTTAAAGAAGCTTCACGACATAATAAAAAAAATCACTATTGTCAATCACTAACTTCCTGAAATAAACTGGTTGTACCATAATAATATTCACTATTTTCTGTGTTAAGTATTAACAAAGCTAGATCCTTCAGATTTTTTTCCCTTAAGATTAGATACAACATAAATCTAAATGTGGTCCACATACCCATTATATCAAAGAATTCATCTAAAGCACCGTGCAGTGCTGGGAACTTATCCCTGTGTTCTTCCAGCAGCCATATTAAACAGCGTGCTTCCTTCAGTGATGTTGGCTCACAGAAATAATCAAGCTTCTTTCCTTCTATGGAACCTAGTTTATGACCATACTTCTCATTCCAGAGAAAAGTCATGATACTAAAATCAAGCTCTTTAAGAGATGCTCCATAGCGAGAAAAAAAAGGTCCTGTGGCATCTAAGCCTGTAAAAAAAACAAACCCCTAATTAGAAGCAGCAAAAGATTATTTACTGTAAAATCACATTCAGTTACCTATCTTTGAAAGCAGTTACAATACAGTTTGCTCCTATTTTCAGCGAAAACATTTAAACACTTGAGAACAGACTTGTTCAAGCTATTATGCATTTTAGAAACACCACTTAACACTGATAAGCTAAGTGTAATAATTCTTATATACTAGGTTTGAATAAGGTTGATCAAAGGCTTTAGGACAAACTAACAAGAATTTACCATATTTTTCTACAGATATTCCATAGCAAATGGATAGTAAAACATCAATAATGCACAAAATCTTACTTAACTCTCAAAATATCATTGATCTTTATCTTCTATAAAAACCAAGGTAGATACTCCTCCCACTTTTATTCTTCATTCTCCAAGTTGGAAAATGGGATGGCTGCAATCTCATACACTCCTCCAGAAAGGATGGTGAAGCCCCACTCCTCACTAACACAGCCACCAAAAAGCAGAAAGGAACTCTGCTCCGTTTTCCCATCACGTCTCTAATATTAAACCGTAACCAATGAAGTAGAGATTACTCAGTCAAAATTACCCTGGACTGCCAGCTACATACACCAGAGCTGGCGGGTTCAAATCCAGCCTGGGCCTGCCAGATAGCAATGCCAGCTACAACACCAACAACAAAAAAATAGCCAGGTGTTATGGTGGGCACCTGTAGCCCCAGCTACTTGGGAGGCTGAGGCAAGAGAATTGTTTCAGCCCAAGAGTATGAGGTTGCTGCGAGCTGTGACACCATATTACTCTACCCAGGGCAACAGCTTAAGACTCTGTATCAAAAAAAAAAAAAAAAAAAAAAATTACCTTGGACTGCTGTTTCTTCCTGATAAAATAGCTTACAGAGACTACACAGCAAGAGAATCGGCATCTTTAAACTCCAGAAGGAGTAACCACATAAAATACTTACACAATAAAAGGCTTAGGGGAATTTCCAATGAAGAAACACCACATTCATAACACCCCAAAAAAGCTAGCACTCCCCCAGGGAATGCAGGCAGACCTTGTTACCTACTGAAATGTTAATTTTCTCTCTCCAGAGCTCTATTTCTTTATCCATCCCCTCTTCCTCTCTCCATCTTTTGCTGAACATATAACCTCTCTTATGTTAAATACGCAGATGATTTGACTCCACTGTATAGTTTTTGTGAGAAGGAAATAAAATTCCAGGAACTGGAAACTGCTTGCTTTTATTAAATTAATGTGAATTTTACATCAGGTCCTTAGTAACAGACTTACTAACTAACATATCTGAATTCATTTCACAACTTTATATAAAAACTATAACTTTAAATAGTATGTATATACCCTTATTAAATAACTTTAATCTTCAGAATAAATATGAATTATATCAAAAGATATGATTCATGTTCTGCTGCCAGTGAGCTGGCCAGGACTCTTGCCTGTGTAGCACAACCCCGACAAATCTTCTCCAGTCTTGAGTCTATCTCCTAAGCAGATTAAAGTAAGCAAGAACATAATTTACTTAGCTGATACTCAATAGTGATAATCTTATTCATTATGTCTCTAAAAACTCAGCCAAGTTAGGAGTGGCTGGCAGAGGCTTGGCAGGCCCCACTCTTGGACTGCAGCTGAAGACCCTGCCCCTCTACTGTGTCTCCCCCTAGTCACTTATCTAACAGCTGCCAACAGCTGTGCCAGGCCAGTTGCTATCCTGGTCACCAAAATAAACAGTGCTGTGTTCAGTGCCCAAAGCATCCTCATCTAGTGTTAGACAACAACTGTTATCTGTAGTTGCCTTCTACAGTCCCTTCATGGCCTTGGGCAAAAAGCCTACTTGGGAGGATGGTTGGGATCTTGCTCAACCTTCCTTCCTTCCTCCCAAGCAAATTAGGAAAGTCAGAAAGGAGTAACAGAGGTGTATAACCCTGTGATTTACAATACAACACCCTAATTCAACCCCAGACAAGATTAAGATATGTTTCTCTTAATTTTTAGATACAGATTTCCCTTAAGTAACACTAAGCAATTAGTCCCATCTACTCATCCTTCTAAATTTTTCTTCAAAGGATCTGAATTTTACATTCTTTTTCTTTCTTTATACAGCTACTAAGCTATACAATTCCAGGGGGCACTCCACAGATACAGACTATAGGATGTGCTATTTATACAAGGCTATGCTCAATACTATCCGCACATTCACGAACAGGTTAGCATAATATAGGTCTGAATTTCCTACTGACTGATCTTTCTTTTGGTTACAGCTTTTAAAAAAGTATATTGTAACCTATCTATAAAATAACCAAAAATTATGGGGGGGGGGTGAGTGATAGTATTTTTAAACATACAAATTTATTGTCCTGCATTTTAAGTTATAAATGATATATGACAGAAAAATGAAAATAGATTTAGAGACCCACAGTTATCCTTCCTACTAAACTACATTGCTCTAGAAAACAAAGGGACATACCAAAGCTATTAAGTTTCTGGATCCAAGTGGCTAATTTAGGCTCCACTTCTTTAAGCTCACTTAAAACATGCAGAAATATCCTTGTCTTTACTCTATTCTTTTCTTGAATCAAGTGACAAATGACATAGTCCACTGCTTCATTTAGAAAATTTCTGCTAGAGAAACAGGTTGTATAGTCTTCTGTGCTCAAAACTTTCCAAGAAAGCAACTCTTTGAGAAGCTTGGAAGTATTCAGTATACCGGATTTAATCTTGTCAGCATACTGCTTTATGCACTGTAGAATTCTGTCATCAAGGAACTGACAGCTCTGAATACTGTCTACAGTATCTAAGGAAAAAGAACAATGGTTAAAGTGACAAATAGGACTAATTTGCAATGACATAAACTTAGAAAAGATACAACATTATACACTAAAATATAACTCAGATGGATTCTTCATCTTATTTTACATAAACAACTCAAGAAATTTTCATTAGGAATATAAATATTTAACAATTTCTTTGAAAAATATGAATGTTCACATTAAACTAAACATGCCAAAAGCAAATAACTTATATCCTTCATTCTGTGCCACTCACCCAGTAGCATCTAAAAACAGTTTCTGGCTAGGTGCCTGTAGCACAGTGGTTACGGAGCCAGTCACATACACCAAGACTAGCGGATTGAACCCAACCTAGACCAGCTAAACAATAACGACAACTGCAACAAAAAATAGGTGGGTGTTGTGAAAGGCGCCTATAGTCTTGGCTACTTGGGAGGCAGAGGCAAGAGATCACTTGAGCCCAGGAATTTGAGGTTGCTGTGAGCTGTGACACCCAGCACTATACAGAGGGCAACAAAGTGAGACTCTGTCTTGAAAAAAACATAATAAAAACATAGTTTCTCTAAAATAAAGTCATTTCCCTCAATAATCCTAACCAAGCCTTATTAACTACCATAACTTTATGTCCAATAAATATGTATAGTCATTAAGCATGTAAAATTAAAGTATGTTCACTGAAAAATTTTTCAATGAAAACAATAATTTTGATTTGCGAAACATTAATGAAATACCAGATAAAAAATAAAGAGGCAAGTAGAAAA